TACCAAGGTTCGAACAACATACAGTACAATCACAGTACAGATTGACCGTTGTGATGCTATATTCCTTTTTAGGGATGCACCAATACCACTTTTTTTAAAACCGATAAGAGTATGAGTACCTTAATTTGAGTACTTGCCGATACCGAGTACGAGTACGAGTACTGCATTCCCTGGGAATTCTTAAAACTGATACAACTGAAAAGGCTTTAACAATTAATCACTTTAGCAATTGTTTTAACAGTAAACAATAAGAGCAAGTGTCATATTCCACTCATACAAATGCTATGTTGTAGACATGGTTGTTTTTGTGCTCCGGTGTTAAACTCCGTGTGGTGGTGAGTTTTCTGCTGGTGTTATACGTGTTTGTTTTGTACCCACCTCGTGACAGTTTTGCCTTACACGCTTTACTCTTAAAAACGTAAAAACACTGCCATACGACTGAGATCTCGTCCGCTTGCCGCTAAACTAGCGGCTAAGCTAAGCTGCTCGCTGCCGGCTATCGGTGATCACCATGGCAACACGTGATGCACAGCTTTCTGCTGTCATGATGCTATGTAAAGTCCTGCTCTGTGTGGAGCCAACAGCACATTTTTACATTCATCTTGTTTGACAGACACAGTTGTTGCTTTAGAAAACACCACGAGGGATGTTTGAAAATATTACCCAGCCAAAATTAAAAAAAATGTATTCAATGCAGTTTAGAGCGCTAAATACTTTATACAAATCAGCTTAGGGCAATTTCTCCAGTGAAATTACATCATTTACAACCGCAATGTTTAATGTTGAATCACGTTTTATTTCTATCTTACTTTTTCTGTTACATTCCCGCTCACTATTCAGACTCTCAAGAGCTTATGGGTTTCTTTCATATAAAGGATCAATAATTGTTTTTTATTATCAATATATCGCAATCATATTATAATGTGATATGCCTCAGATTTCCAGATATAAGGCAATGCACTCGTACTACACACAAATCTACTACACACGATGGTGATAAACTACTACTGTGGCACACCGACAGAATGCTTCCCTTCGCTCCTGATGGATTTATGTTCCAGTTCTCTATTAGTATTTCAAACTTTTTTAAATTGAAATTAATATTTATTTCAGTCTCAAATTCGGTCCATGTTTTAAAAGAATAGGAACATAAAGAGAGAACATACAATACAATATACAGTATACAGTATACAGTCATTGGAGGCAGATCTACTGGGGATAGTAGAGTGTTTCAACCCAGTGTTTCTGAGAGCATTTTATAGAGTTTGAAGGATGGTGTTTTCCGATGTGAAAAGATTTGCTCTTGTGTGTCATCAATGGGAGGGCCTTTCTCTCTGTTGCTCATCCTTAGTTCTTACTTATTCGTGATGCTATATGATTGAATGCTTCATCTTTTGGGGCGACAGTGGCTCAGTTGGTAGAGCATTGGCCTTTGAGCCCAAAGGTTGTGGATTTGACACCTAACCCCCCTTTTCCTGAAGCCCCCGTTGAAAGGTGAAGGCTGTGATGTCACTGACAGAGCAGCTGTACTCCTGTGGACTCCTGTGGACTCACTGTGGATCAATTGGGTGGCAGATGATTGCCACCCCTCGACCCAGAAATGGACAAAGGGGAAGAAGATGTATGAAAGCTTCCCATTTTGAGCGTCTCTATGTATGAATTGTGGCCTTTTACACAGCTTCAGTCGCCTCTTTTGCACACCCACTGTACTGAACTTGACTCATTATTTTGTCTCAAGGACTACTTAGAATAAATAGAATAAAATCCCATGCTTAATTAAAGATTCCGTTTTATTTGTTTTGACCTTAGTTCATATTAGGTCCCATATTACGCTTGTTGACCTTTCTCTGCTTTAAACATCATTATAGTGCTATTTGGCCTTCATACAGCTTTAGTTAGTGAGCGGTCTTTCTCTTTCATTCTCCAGAGGCAGAAAAACGCCTTGATTCACTTTGTTACGTTGCATCACTTTCTTACATGACACGAGCTTCAGAATTCCCACAATAAAAGACACTACTGAGAAGTACAAAGCACCACTAATTATGGTCCGATTCTGGATCAGAAGTCAGCGTGAGGCACGGTCAGCCTCACACGGAGGCTCAGAGGGAAAGGAGCACAGATACAAGTGTTTGATATTAGCTCTAAGCAAGAAATGCCTATACTTTCTAAGTTTTGAGTTGTGTATCACTCAAATTATTATCAGTTTAGGACCTAGGATTATTACCTATCTTAGGATGGACTGTGGAAATAAGAAAAACCGAATACGGGACCTTTAAATTCTCAATTATTTAAATGTCCACTCTGGTTGCTCAGTTCAGAAACATTTCTAAAGACTTGGGTTGATGGGATTTTTTTTTAACAAATATGACATGACAGCATCAGTTTGAGCAGTGCCATTGTGCGGTTCTGGGTGCGATTCCCAGCTGGCTCAGGGCTTTTCTACGAGGAGTTTGCATTCACTCCATGTCTGTGTAGGTTTCATGTGCTTCGGTTTAAACTTCGAAAAATAAGCACAGTAATTATGAATGTGCGGCGTGAGTGAATGGTTAGTAGAGGAGAAAGTGGAGCGAGTTTGTGGCTGTCAGTCAGTGTGTGTGAAGTGAATGAATAATGCATTAAAAGCACTTGTGTGACTGTGGTCTGTAGAAATGGCTCTACAAATAAAACTTTTTTCCTCACCTACAACTTGCAAGTTATAATTAATATGGATTAATAGATTTCAAGATTAATTTGAGGAAAGCCCCTCAGTATAGATTGATTGTATGCCATGTGAACACGGTGGTCTGGTCTGTCCAATGTAACTGTTCACATCAAATAAATAAATACAATTTTATTTTTGAGGGTGACAAATACAAGACAAAACATAAAATCTATAAAACATACAAGACAAACCAGATCTTTGAACAGTCCAAGACACTATACTGTCTTGGCATTTAAAATTCTTCTTTTGATTCATGAGGCCTTATTTTTATATAAAGCATTAATACTTTCCTTAATCTCATTATTATATATACATGCATTTTTATTTAAACAACAGTTTGGAAATGGCAGATCTTTGTATTTGTTTAGCTGGAAACGTCCTCCTGTATGTGTGATCACCATATATGGGCACATGTGAGCTATAGGGACAGCCGTAATCACCCGTCTTCTAGTGCAGACCTAAACATTGGTGTCAGTTCAGTGACGGTGGTCTCATAATTACAGCTGATTACAAAGTCGTGCATTGTGTTGGCTGCAGTGATCACAGTGATGTGGAGGCTGCACTAGCGTCACGAGCCTGAGGCCACAGCGCATGACAGCTTCTCATTAGCTTCACTCTTCACTTCAGCTGCTCATTCAACTGTGACTGGTGACGACAATCTCCGTTTCCTACAAGAGGCTTTGGGCTGTGGGAGTGAAGGAGAAGTTCTTGATTCCCCACTCAATCTATGTCCCCACCCTCACAGTTCAGGTTGTCCCCATAGAGGGATTGTCCTCAGCATCTGACCCATCTTGCAAAGGGCCTCGGTCTGGAGCAGTGGTCACCACTATGCAGTGTCCCATCCCTAGATGTTAGACACAGGGCTTGGTCTGGACATTTACCAGAAGGATTTTGGTGTTGGGAGCGACCCCCCCCCCGACACGGATAAAAACATGTTTACTGTAAATGTGTACATATTCACAGACATGTATATTCCTGAGTACCTATATACAGATTATTCTATTCTCAAAATATTATCTTATTTGTATTCTTATTTTCAGATTGTTAGTTTATGTTTATTTTAATTGTGGAATACTATGCAAGCTACTGTGACAACACAATTTCCCCGTGTGGATCAATAAAGTCTGTCAAAGTCTAAGTTTAACAGCCTGTCTCTGGTCATGAGTGTGACGGAGGAACAGCATTCTCTCATTCTGCTGGTGAGCCTGGTCCCTTTGCTTTTGGCCCAAGAGCAGAATGCACGTCAGGTCGAGCACATCAAGGACGCACATGGAGCGCACCGTTTACCCGAGGTCGCCTTGAGTGTGTACGTCTCGCACCACAAACTGTTTGGACTGTCTACTGGCCAAACCCAGGCACTTCTCAAAAGTAGTGAGCAGACTTCGAAAGTGAATCTATTGTGATGCAGAAGGTGTGCAAGAAAATACATCTGATTAACAGTGATGATGTTTGCCACTGTACAACTGTTAATACAAAAATGAGGTCAAAAATCACTGCAAGAATTTAAGCCAGACAATTCTTGACCTTAACCTCAAAATACAATAATAAAAAAAAAACATGCCAAATCATATTTTTGAGTTTTTGACCACATTCAAACATTGTTCTCCCATCAAACTAGACTTTTTTTTGGTCCATCCTTGTTAATATAAGGGACTTTTGACTCAAATTGAAACAAACAATAACAAACACATCACATCAAGGACTTTTAAAGGCACTTAAAATATAATATTTGACATTCTCTGGCCAAATGATGGTCTTTAAAGGTGGTGTCAGCGTCTTCAAACGTACCTATTTTAGTATGCATATGTTTGACCATATGACCATGTGCTAAAATGTATTTCAAATAGTCCCTCCTCTTGGCAAAACCACAATCAGCAAGACTCAGTCAAACTTTTAGTTCCGTAGTGTAAACTGGCATTTTTGAAACCATTTTGAAACCATTATTCCGAGGTGCCTGGCACTTTCAGGCATCTCATTTTTGGGGGGTTGCAAGCTCATAATTTTTTCTATTAAACTCCTTTCCGCCTATATCGTGCAGTATCCCTGCCGGGGCCTAAAAGCGTATCTATAAATGTAATAGTACTCAATCTAATCTGCTGGTGTTTATTCATGCATCTTGAAAATAATTATTCTAATGCAATCTTCGTCTTGAGTCTTTCCAATTGATTCAAGCTGGCTTTTTATGACTTGGTTCTTTTATAAAGCCCTTTGGTCACGTCCTGTATTGTAAAAGGGTCTATGAATAAAGCTTGCCTGATTTACTGATTGTTTGAAGAATAAAAACAGGCCAGTGACTCACTATGTTCATGAGTGTGAGGAGGTAGTTCTGCACGTGCTCCTTCCCGTGGAACCGCACCACCGAGTCGTCCACTCCCAGCAGCACCTCAATGTTGTAGTCGTTCTCCCCCGCGTCCCGTCTGCGGCGCTGGTGCAGACGGTTGTTCAGCTGCGAGGCCAGAGAGTCCACGGAGCTCGCCACGTCCAGCTCTGTAAACAAAGCAAAGGTTTCAATACCGTGGAGAGATTCAATGTTCTAGTCTGTATTCCAGGGTTTTTAGAGTCCTGGAGGGTCCAAGGACAGCGGTGATGATCCCGGACACTTGACTTTCAACGACATGTATGGACTTTATCAACATTTATGGACATTGGTCATCTGCCCCTTTCGCTCTATGTGTTTTTAATCACTGCATCTTTTGTATTTGTACAGTTTGATTATCTGATCTGTGTTGGCGAATCAACGTTTTGTGAAGTCCTCTGAGATAACTACTGCAGTGATTTAGGGCCATACAAAAAGGATTGAATTGAATTTGAATATATACGTGTTGCTATTGAGTCTGTAGCAACCAGATGACAAGGTGTCTCTGTCTCAGTTTCTTATAATCAGTACGTTTAGGCTGCTAACTGCAAGCTGTCATCAAATCTCCAGTTCTAAGAAAAGAGAACTTGATGATGGAGCAGAAAATACAACAGTGATTGACAGTCAAAGCAAAAACAACAGCTTGGTTATCGGTTGTAGGCAAATAAAAAGCAAACTTGAGCTTTTGAACAAAATGGAAAATCCTTCTTTTGACATAGAAGGCTTTGAGTGGTATTACTCCATCTTAGCTGCAAAGTGCATGAGTATATTATCAATCAAATCAAAGTTGCTCAGAAAAGGCAAGACTTCTGGTGGTTGAGTGTCTAAAAGCACAGTAGTAGGCAGAACATTTAGCTACCCATCTCCATAGAATCAGCTCCCACAAGAGGCCGACACAGAACATTCAAGACCACAGGCTTAAAAACGTTCCTCTTTGATCATAATAAATATCCCTATATGAGAGTAATTTTTTTATATGCCCCCTTCCTGGACAGGGATTGTGTGGTGATACTAAACAAATAAAAAAAATGTAAATGGAGACGCTAGGAGAACTATGCTAATTTAAGCACAATCCACTCTTCTCTTGTGCTTTACTTCCCAATTCTGTTCACAGCTATTCAACCATTGTCTCCTTGTCTGTTTCATGGTGTAATGATGGGAACTTTTCCTTGTTGATAAAAATAGACTGTATATAGATAAACAATGCTAGCTCTCTAATTTAATGAAAACCACAAGGGAAGGCTGTCACTCTGGGTAAAGCACTGGGTCAGTCACTCCTGTACAGATTGTGCTAAGGACAGGGGATGATCCGGAACATTCACGGACATTGATTAACACATTATTATTTTAGTGTTGCATTTGTTATGTGTTCTAATTGTTTGATTTTCTAATCTGATGTTGGCAAAACAACAATTCTGTGACGCTCTTCAAGACAACAGCTGTTGTGATTTTGGCCGATAATTATTTTTTTTAAAACATACAAGTACTAGTGTGAATAAGGCTGTAAATAGATGCTGCCAAAGACCTGGTCCAAAAACAGGCAACAACAAAAAACAGATCTCCCCACCCACAATCAATGAATATGCAGTAAGGGCAGGCTCCTTTTGTGGCACCGGCACCTGCCACAGCTGATTAGTGGCATGTACACAACAAATGGCGTTTAAAACGGCATGTGGACAACAAGTGGCGTTTAAAACGGCATGTGGGGAATAAATGGCGTGTAAAGCGGCATGTGGACAACAAGTGGCGTTTAAAACGGCATGTGGGGAATAAATGGCGTGTAAAGCGGCATGTGGGCAATAAATGGCGTTTACAACGGCATGTGGGGAATAAATGGCGTGTAAAGCGGCATGTGGGCAATAAATGCCGTTTACAACGGCATGTGGGGAATAAATGGCGTGTAAAGCGGCATGTGGACAACAAGTGGCGTTTAAAACGGCATGTGGGGAATAAATGGCGTGTAAAGCGGCATGTGGGCAATAAATGGCGTTTACAACGGCATGTGGGGAATAAATGGCGTGTAAAGCGGCATGTGGGCAATAAATGCCGTTTACAACGGCATGTGGGGAATAAATGGCGTGTAAAGCGGCATGTGGACAACAAATGGCGTTTAAAACGGCATGTGGGGAATAAATGGCGTGTAAAGCGGCATGTGGACAACAAGTGGAGTTTAAAACGGCATGTGGACAACAAGTGGCGTTTAAAACGACATGTGGACAACAAGTGGCGTGTAAAGCAGCATGTGGACGACAAGTGGCGTTTAAAACGGCATGTGGACAACAAGTGGCGTGTAAAGCGGCATGTGGACAACAAGTGGCGTTTAAAACGGCATGTGGGGAATAAATGGAGTGTAAAGCGGCATGTGGAAAACAAGTGGCGTTTAAAACGGCATGTGGGGAATAAATGGCGCGTAAAGCGGCATGTGGGCAATGAATGCCGTTTAAAACGGCATGTGGACAACAAGTGGCGTTTAAAACGGCATGTGGGGAATAAATGACGTGTAAAGCGGCATGTGGGCAATAAATGGCGTTTACAACGGCACGTGGGGAATAAATGGCGTGTAAAGCGGCATGTGGGCCATAAATGGCGTTTACAACGGCATGTGGGGAATAAATGGCGTGTAAAGCGGCATGTGGGCAATAAATGCCGTTTACAACGGCATGTGGGGAATAAATGGCGTGTAAAGCGGCATGTGGACAACAAATGGCGTTTAAAACGGCATGTGGGGAATAAATGGCGTGTAAAACGGCATGTGGACAACAAGTGGCGTTTAAAACGGCATGTGGACAACAAGTGGCGTTTAAAACGACATGTGGACAACAAGTGGCGTGTAAAGCAGCATGTGGACAACAAGTGGCGTTTAAAACGGCATGTGGACAACAAGTGGCGTGTAAAGCGGCATGTGGACAACAAGTGGCGTTTAAAACGGCATGTGGGGAATAAATGGCGTGTAAAGCGGCATGTGGACAACAAGTGGCGTTTAAAACGGCATGTGGGGAATAAATGGCGCGTAAAGCGGCATGTGGGCAATGAATGCCGTTTAAAACGGCATGTGGACAACAAGTGGCGTTTAAAACGGCATGTGGGGAATAAATGGCGTGTAAAGCGGCATGTGGACAAAAAGTGAAGTTTAAAACAGCATGTGGGGAATAAATGGCGTGTAAAGCGGCATGTGGGCAATGAATGCCGTTTAAAACGGCATGTGGACAACAAGTGGCGTTTAAAACGGCATGTGGGCTACAAATACAGTTGAAAGCAGCCTGTACAAAAGACAACAAGCAGCATTACTGGAGCTAGTGGTCCAGTGGCTCAGATGGAAAAGCACAGGTCTACGGTGTTAATGGTTGCTAGTTCAAATCCCCAGTGACTATCAATGACATTTGCTGATGTTGGGTCCTTGGGCCTAACACTTCATGAAGAATGTCAGAAGTGCCATAAGTTGTTTGAGTAATAATAATATAGGTTATTGCATAAATTTGTTGAAAGACTTAATTTCATGTATTATATATAGTTTAAATTCCACATGACCTGCGTCATCTCGTGGCGCACTTGGTTTATAACTGCCTCTCATGCGGAAGATACCTGGTTCAAATCCAGGACAGGTCATTATTTTTTCTTTGTCAGATTAAATACAAATTTAATATGTATGACATTATATATATATATTCGGGCTCGAGAAATGTAGCAGGATGGTGACTCGGAGAGGCAAGGTAGTCCACACAGAAGGGATCTCACTCCCAGAGGGAACAATAGCAGACGTTGAGGACAGTTACAAGTATCTCGGTATACCACAGGCAAATGGCAACCTCGAACAGGTGACGAGGAAAGCGGCAACTGCCAAATACCTCCAGCGAGTAAGGCAGGTCCTAAGAAGCCGGCTCAATGGCAAGAACAAGGCCCGGGCAATTAACAGCTACGCCCTGCCAGTGATCAGATACCCTGCAGGAATAATCAGGTGGCCAAAGGAAGAGATTCAGACCACGGATGTTAAAACTCGAAAGCTCCTTACCATGCATGGCGGGTTCCATCCCAAATCCAGCACCCTGAGACTGTACGTAAGCCGTAAAGAAGGAGGCCGAGGACTAGTGAGTGTGAGAGCCACTGTCCAGGACGAAACATCCAAACTCCATAACTACATCATGGAGAAGGCCAAAACGGATGACGTACTCAGTGAATGTCTCAGGCAGTGGCGAGATGAGGAGGTGCTGGAGGAGAGCCCATCATGGGAGAACAAGCCCCTACACGGCATGTACCACCGGAGCATAACAGAAGTGGCTGATCTCAAGAAGTCCTACCAATGGCTAGAAAGGGCTGGCCTACAGGAAAGCACAGAGGCACTCATCATGGCTGCACAGGAACAGGCACTGAGCACCAGAGCGATAGAGGCCCAGTTATACCACACCAGACAAGACCCAAGGTGTCGGTTGTGCAAAGAGGCACCTGAGACGATCCAACACATAACTGCAGGGTGCAAGATGCTGGCAGGGAAGGCCTACATGGAACGCCATAACCAAGTGGCTGGCATAGTGTACAGAAACATCTGTGGAGAGTATGGGCTGGAAACCCCAAGGTCTAAGTGGGAAACTCCTCCAAAGGTGGTGGAGAATGAGCGTGCGAAGATCCTGTGGGACTTCCAGATACAGACCGACCGAATGGTAATGGCAAACCAACCTGACATCGTGGTGGTAGACAAAGGGCAGAGGACAGCCGTGGTGGTGGACGTGGCAATTCCAAGCGATGGTAACATCCGGAAAAAAGAACATGAAAAGCTTGAGAAATACCAAGGTCTCAGAGAGGAGCTGGAGAGGGCCTGGAGGGTAAAGGTGACAGTAGTGCCCGTGGTGATCGGTGCACTCGGGGCAGTGACCCCGAAGCTAGATGAGTGGTTACAGCGGATCCCCGGAACAACCTCGGACATCTCGGTCCAGAAATGTGCAGTGCTAGGAACAGCAAAGATACTGCGCAGAACCCTCAAGCTCCCTGGCCTCTGGTAGAGGACCCGAGCTTAGAGAGGGATAACCGCCCGCGGAGGGCCAAAGGTGAGTGGACAATTTTTATATATATATATATATATATATATATATATATAAAACAAAAGAAAAAATCATTTTATTTCTTTCTCTTCTTTAAT